AGCATTAATGAATTTTTAAAACATTATTCAAAGTAAAAGAACCCAGAAACAAAAGGTCACATATTATGTGATTATACTGATATGAAATACTCAGATTAGGCACATTATAGGCATAAAGTAGATTACTTGGACATGACAACTTCTGAATTGTACACACTAAAAGTGTGAAAATTGTGATTTATCAATTACAACTCAATAAAAACGGAAAAATAAAGGAAAAAAATGGGCACTATCTCCAGGCTAGGTGCCATTGAGTCAGCTCCGACCCACAGTGACCCTATGGGCAACAAAACAAAACACTACATGGTCCTGTGCCGTCCTCACAACTGTTCCTGGGTTGAGCCCATTGATGCAGCCATTATACCAATCCATCTATTCCAGGGCCTTCCTCTGTTTACCAGCTCTCCACTTTACCAAATATGATATCCTTCTCCAGGGACTGGTCTCTCCTGACAATATGTTCAAGGTATGTAAGACAAAGTCTTGCCATCCTTGTCTCTAAGAAGCACTCTAACCTTACTTCTTCCAATACAGGTAGGTTTGTCCTTTTAGCAATCTACAGGACTTTCAATATTTTTCTCCAACACCACAATTCAAATGCATTTATTCTTCTACAGGCTTCCTTATTCAATATGCAATTTTCAAATACATTTAGTGCAATGAAGACTACCATGACTTGGGTCAGGCACACCTTAGTCCTCAGAGTAACATCCTTGTTCTTCAGTACTCTGATAAAGAGGTCTTGTGAAGCAGATTTACCTAATATTATATGTCTTTTGATCTCTTGACTACTGCTTCCATGAAAATAGATTGTGGATCAAGAGCAAAAATTCTTGACATCTTCAACCTCTTCTCCATTTATCGTGATGTTACCTCTTAGTCCATGTGTGCTGAATTTGGTCTTCTTTACATTGAGTTGTAATCCAGATTGAAGACCACAATGCTTGATCTTCATGAGCAAGTGTTGCAAGTCCTCCTCACTTTCAGCAAGCAAGATTGTGTCATCTACATACTGCAGCTTGTTAATGTCTTCCTCCAATTTCGATGCCACACTCTTCTTTGTATAATTCAGCTTTTGTAATGATTTTCTCAACATATAGATTAAACAAATATGGTGAAAAAATGAAACCCTTATATACATCTTTCCTGATTTTAAACCATGCATTATCCCCTTTTTGTTGGTCTGGGTAGTCTAGAGAAACAAATTCATAGACACTCAGATATTTATAAGAAAGAGATTTATATAAGAGCAACTGAATATTGAGAAAACACCCCAGCCCAGTCCACAGCAAGTCCATAAGTCCAATAATAGCCCATATGTCTGATACCAATCTATAAAGTTTTCTTCAGACTCACACAACACATGCAATTACTCCGAATGCAGGAAGATCACAGGTCAGTTGGTGGAAAATCGTGTGGATCCAGCAGTGATATCAGCATCTCAGCACTGGCAGGGTCTCTTCATGGCTTCTCCAGCTCAAGACACTAGTGTAGTTCCATGGGTCTTGTCAACTGCAATTTCTCCCAGAGAGTGAGCATGTGTCCCACCTCCAGGGAGCTATTTATCTACTTAGCACCTCCAAATGAGGTCATCAAGCTGCGACCTGATTGATAGGCTAAACTTCACCCATTCACTCTTAAGTCTCAAATTGACAATAGCTTATTTAACTGCCACAGACCACCCCTTGTCAATTTGACACTTTCACAAAACTCTCTAGCCATATATAATTTTCAAGCAAGCAACAATAAAATCATATCTGTACCTAACAGGATAAAACTAAAATGCATACAATTCAATATGTGCCATCCTCATTTAAATATAACGTTCTATAAGTGAATAAAACAAAAATATCCTATACTTATGTGAACACCTACACCATAATCCTATGAATATATTTTCCCACTTATGAAAGTCTGTAAGCCAGCCACTTCATGCCTTTATCCTCCCCATTTTGGATATCCAGTTTCTATATTGCGCACTTAAATCAACCTAGTGTTCTGAGGAGACAATCATATTCTTTGACATGAAGAATCTTCATTCCAGTTTGAATCTTGTGAAATCCGCATCCATAAGCAGATTCATATCAGGACAGGCCATCCATAAAGTCTATAGCAATATGAGCACCAGTTCACAGTGTATATCGAGTTCACAGGTTCAAATATTTTCTCTTCATCTGGTACGGTTCTAGTCAACCTAGTGTGTGCTGCCTTACTTAGCCTCACCAGAGTGCCCATTGACTGCCTTGCCTTTAGACCATGGACCCATCACGAATTCTCAACAACTCTAGCTACCTTGTGTTCGGTCATGAACTTCAGACCAGTCAACCGCTCTCGTCTTCTCCTCTAGTTCCTATAAACCAGGTTCACATGTGTTAGTGGCCAGACAACCCATCTCTTTATTGCAGCTTTTCTCCCACTTCCATTCAACAAGTGGATCCAGGTGGTCATCCAGCAACATTTCAGCCTGCCCACAGGCATACTTTAAAGTTCAGTCCTAGAAAGGAGTTTTCTTCATGGCTCCAGATTTTTTCCAGCTTCTGGCAAAAAACCACTAGTTCAAAATTTAAAAATTCAGAGTTCCTTTCTTTCCCCTTCAATCTGTCAACAGTCCCCTAGGCAAGTATCACCTTTGAATGTACTGAGCACTTAAATACTGGGTGGGGCTTATCTTTTCAGAGCCTTCTTTACAGGCTTGTCCTAAACCCATTTAAGGATCAAATTTTAATGGCTCAAGGCAAGTGGGTTTACAAGCTCTTTATTTTCATACTTCCCAGTAATCATTTCTATCAATCATTATATCAATAATAATAAGTAGAAACAATTAGTATAAGCAAAGAAGAATGAGATGTTAAACTTAATTCGTAAAACAGTCAAGTTCAATCGTTTTTTAGCTTATTTTAATCCTTATCTAAACTATTCTATTGATACAAAATATGGGATTGGGCCTCGCAGTATCAAGCCAGAGCCAGGCTTTCTGTCAGCCATTTTGACCTTCTGTCAGCCACTTTCACTAAGCAGATCTGAAAAATTCAAGGGGTGATTTCATCCGCTGAGCTCAAAGTATACATTAATCACATTCATCTTTGCCATTTCACACAGGAATAACCAAAGACTACAACCAATGAAAAGAATCAAAACTTTAACTTCCCATGTTTTTTCCAGAAAACAACCCAGGGAACTTCATGGACATATCTGACTTCCAGCTAGCCAAAGAAGAAAAATCACTGTGAGGGAGAGTTCAAGCAAGCATCCACTCTCCATCTTTATGATCTGTTTCTTTAGTACTCCACTCCCAATGTACCATAATGTGTTAGTCTGGGTAGACTAGAGAAACAAATCCAGGGAGACTCATATGTGTATGAGAAAGAGATTTATATACATGAGCAACTGAATATTGATAAAACATCCTGGTCTAGTCCAGATCAAATCCATAAGTCCAATATTAGCCCATATGTCCAATACCAATCTATAAAGTCCTCTTCAAGCTCACACAACACATGCAATGACGCCCAATTCAGGAAGATCCCAGGTCAGTGGGTGGAAAGTCTTGTGGATTCAGCAGTGATATAAGCATCTCAGCACTGGCAGTGGTCTCTACATGGCTCCTCTAAGCTCAGGGCATGAGTGTGGCTCCTGTGTCTTGTCAGCTGCAATGTCTCCCAGAGAGTGAGCATGTGTCCTGCTTCCAGTGAGCTATTTATCTCCTCAGCGCCACCAAATGAGGTCATCAAGCTGCGACCTGATTGACAGGCTAAACTCCACCCCTTCACTCTTAGTCTAACATTGACAGCAGATTATGTAACTACCACACTCTTGTTCTGTTTACATAATTGCTTCTTGATTCATGTACAAGTTCCGAATGAGCACAATATAGTGTTTTGGAACTCCCATTCTTCTTAAGGTTATCCCTGATTTATTATGATCATCCACCTAGTCTATCTACCCACCCATTTATCTTTCACTCATAATGTTTTTTGGAGTGGGGGAGCAGGTGTATGTATATACTAAATCTATAATATACAATATCTAAGGATGCACATTTAACAGAAGACCGTGGAAAAATGTCCAGGTTAATAAATATAACTAAATCATTTCTTTTAATATTTACATGGTATCCTGTAAGATATAAATATAAAAACGAGATCAAGCGTGTTGCTATCAGGTTGATTTTGACGTACTGTGACCCACGTGTGTTACAATACAGAAGTGGGATCCATAGGGCTCTTAGCTGCCCTTACTCTGAAAGCAGATCTCCATGCCTTCCTTCTACTGTAAGGGCAACATAAGCTTTCACCCTTCCTTACTTGATGGTTTTAGATCTTTCCCAAATTTTTCTGCCATACAACAGATTAATGGTTTTTTTTTTTAATCTGCCTAGAATAGATTACTAAAAATATAGAATTAGAGGATTTTTTTTAACTGAAAACTAGTTCTTCATTGCCTTCTCAAAAATTGACTGTACGTAATTCACTTTTCTTCAAGTGATATATTGGAAGGCTACTACCCTTCCATGTGAGTACTATTGCAACTCTTAATTTTTGTCAATCTAAAATGTAAAGGGTGATCTTTCATTGTCATTTTTGTTTAAATATTTTTAGTAACTAGGGGTGCAAGGCAAGTCTTTTCATACATTGACACATGTACTTGTCTATGAGTTACCTATTCATAATCATTGCCCAAGTTTCTTTATATCTCAGAAATATCTTTTCCCAGTATAACTACATGGGTGAAGAGGGGCGGCCAGAACAAATCCACTCTGGCCTGAATTAGTGGAGCTTTGCCTCCAACCGCCCTTTCCATTTGACTGTGCTGACATGCTTTCATTTCTCTGGGAAGTTGAGTGCCTCCATTTAAAGGAGGAAAAAAGGAAAGGAATGGGGAAAAAAAGTACAGCCGAAGCTTACATAATCCTCTTGCTCTCCTCAAAGCCTGCTGCTGCTGCTGCACAATTCATGTGAGGTTTATATTCCAGTAACCAAAGAGCACAGCACAAAACCCACCTGCAGTGAAGCCGTGGTCTCCAGTTCCCATGTTCAACAACCATCCGCTTAGCGTCCCGCTGCTCTCTTGAAAAATGTGGACTCCTCCTGATAGTCTCACTTGAGAGGAAAGAAGCCCTAAAAATAGCTGCCAAAATGAGAGGGCTCGCCCTCTTCCGAACACTTTGCTTTCATGCCACGTTTTCTGACACTTCCATCCTATTTTATTTTTCCTCCCTGCCTTTCCCCCCACCTCTTCATCTGAGTGCCTCACTGGTAGTCTTGACATTAACAAGCTTCAAGCTGGTTTAAAAAGGAAAAGAAGAAAGGACGAACTAGGGAAAGAACCCTCATCCTGCCAAGCAGTGCGTCTGCACAGGCTTTCCCACACAGAGAGGGAAGTGAGTGGCAAGGCTGCAGGGAGGCTGACATGGGGGCAGGAGGCAGCTGTTTGCTTTTCTTAAAACTGCCCTGATTCTGCATTTTCTTGAGGGCCAGTTGAATGCTGTTCAGATGCTGGGTGCTTTAAGACCTCTCAGCAGGTCAGTTGTTGCGAAGAGAAGTCAATCCCTTGCTGCCAGTCCCCAGCCCAGCCCTGAGTGTGGTCCAGCTTCCCCCCCCACTCCTTCTGGACATTTCGGTGTCTACAAAAGGCTGCACCAGCACAGTCAGTTCAGCACGGTTAGTGTTTGTCTCTTTTCTCATTGTCCAGGCTCAGTGGCAGTTTATCTGACAGTCCTATCAAGAAGTCCTCCAGAGATTTCCAAGAAGAGGGTAACACGGATGTACTTGCATATTCCAACCCACACCAAGACCGGTGTGAAATGTCAGACGGCAGCTGTGCTTGAGCAAATACTAATTTCTTCATGAGCAGACTTTAAACTTCAATTGCATCCCAAAATATAGTTTTGTGCTTAAGACACTTCTATCTTTTTTTAATCTGTGTTTTGCTTTGCTTAGTGTCATCATAATGGAGGGTCTCTAAATGAAGAGTCTCTCTCCTATTTTCAAATATCGTTGTTATTGCTGTTGTTGTTAGATGCCACCCAGAAGGTCTGACTTATAGTGACTCTGGGTACATAATATTGCCCGCTTCTGTGCCACCTTCACAATTGTTCTCATGCCCGAGCCCATCGCTGTAGCCACCGTGTCAACCCATCGTGCTGAGGATTCTCCTCTTTCTCCACTCTCCCTCTACTGCTCAAGCAGAATGTCCTTTTCCTGGGACTGTTCTCTTCTAACACCATGTCTGTGTGCTCTAAGAATCATTCTGGCTGTGCTTCGTCCAAAACAAATCCTTTTGCTCCTTTTGCAAATCCTTGGTAATTTCAATATTCTTGACCAGCCCCACAATTCAAATGCATCAATTTTTCTGTCTTCCTTATTCAATATCCAACCTTCATGTGCATGTAAGGCAATTGAAAATAGCATGGCTTGAGGTCGGCACATCTTGGTCCTCAAAATAACATCCTTGTGTTGCAAAGAGGGAACCGATTACAAGGAACTATATGTGACCTCCTCCCTGGGGATGGACAACAGAAAAGTGGGTGAAGGGAGACATCAGACAGGGCAAGATATGACAAGATAATAATTTATAAATTATCAAGGGCTCATGAGGGAGGAGGGAGCGGGGAGGGAGGGGAAAAATGAGGACCTAATGCTGGGGGCTTAAGTGGAGAGAAAATGTTTTGAGAATGATGAGGGCAATGAATGTATAAATGCGTTTTACACAATTGATGTATGTATGGATTGTGATAAGAGTTGTATGAGCCCCTAATAAAATTATTTTAAAAAGAGCTGCATGAGCCCCCAATAAAATGATTTTTTAAAAATAAAAAAATAACATCCTTACTTTCCAACACTTCAGAGGTCTTGTAAAGCAGATTTACCCGATGTAGGGTGTCATTGTGTCATTTGATCTTTTGCCTGTGACTTCCTTGTCCATAGATTGTGGATCTAAGCACAACAAAATTCTTGATACCTTCGATCTTTGTTAGTTGTCATTAAACCATCCTAATTCATGGTGACCCACTGCACAATGAAGCTAAATGCTCCTCCATAAGCCATGGTAGATCAGACTATTGTGATCCCAAGGATTTCCATTGACTGATTTTTGGAAGTAGATCTTCAGGACTTTCTTCCTCGTCCATCTTAGTCTAGAAGTTCTGCTGAAGTCTGTTCAGCATTATAGCAACACATAAGCCTCATTGATATGTGGATGAGGACTGTACATCAGACACATTGGCCAGGAATCAAATCTGCATCTCCAGCAAGAACGCTGAGAATTCTATCATTGAGCCACCACTGCCCATTTTAATAGTTCTATTTTAATATAATTACATACAATAATTCCTATAATACATATTATTTTTTTCATGATGGCTAATGTATACATATACATACATACATACATATAGAAAACAAATCACTTTCCATTTCTGTGTCCCGAACAGAGAAACATCGATGATATTATGTTACACTTTATTCTATTCTGGCCCTGTTTTTTAGTGCAGAGGGAGAAGACTTCTTTAGAACTCTGCAAACAAAGGAAAGCATAGAACCATCTCGGGGTTTCCATCCGTTTGCCACCCTTCCCATGCTCTGCCTCTGCGCTGGACTGATGGTGCCCCTTTCAGGACTCCTAGGTTAACAGGACTCCACTGATGCTCCTTCTGAAGAGATTGGAATGGTACGGTGACCCCAGAGCTGTTCACACCCCGAGGCCCGTACATCACCCTACCATTCCTCCTGCCAGTAGCTGAGAGGTAGCTTCTAGTAGGCAGTTCACCACATGGTGCTACTTGGAGCTTTTTCCCTTAGCTTCCTGAAGACCTGAGAAGGGATAGGCTAGGGTTTAACGGATTTGTATAAACTGGATTCTAGTTCTCTGAAGGGAAGCTGAATTTTACCTTGGTGGTTTGGCATGACAAGGCCATAGTCCTATGGAAAGAACAGGTTTTTCAAAGTTCAGTTCTGCACTGTACACGTTTTATGACCTTAAGCTAATTATTACCCTTTATAGTTCCCACTTTTTATCTGACAGGGTTGTCGTGAGAATTAAGCAGGATAATGAGAGAAAATAAATGCAGGCAGTGCCTGAATTATGAATGAGATCTGTGCTTCAGTTTGTCTTAAAGTTTAATTTGTAAGAAATTCAGTCCAGGTGCAGATAATTCTTACTTAGCTTTAATTTAGTGCAAGAAGTAACCCTAGTGGTGCAATATCTAAAGTGCTCAGCTACTAACCAAAAAGTCAGTGGTTTGAAGCCAACAGCAACTCCACAGGAAAAAGATGTGGCGGTCTGCTGATGTAAAGATGTACAACTGATACATTCCCACTTCTCCACATCTTCTGCCAGAATGAAGACCATTCTGAGCAATTAGACTATCAATATTCCAGACATTTCCCGGAAGGGGTACACAGATATTGTGAAGGGCCCCAGAAGCACCCAGAGGAGGGACTTCAAGCACATCAACATAGAACTCAGACTCCTTGGGAAGAAAAAGAAGAGGCTTTGTGTTGACAGCTGATGGGGAAATAGAAAGGAAGTGGCTACAGTCTGCACTATCCGTGGTCATGCACAGACCTGGATCAAGGGTGTTACACTGGGCTTCTGAGACACGATGAGATTTGTGTGTGCCCACTTCCCTGTCAGTGTGGTTATTCAGGAGAATGGGTCTCTTGAAATCTGTAAGTTCTTGGGGGGAAATGCATCTGAAGGGTTCACATGAGGACAGGTGTTGCTTGTTCCATTTCTCAAGCCCAGAAAGATGAGTTAATTCTTGAAGGAAATTACACTGGGCTTGTATCACATTCACCTGCTTTAATTCAGCAAGCCATGACAGTTAAAGACAAGGATATCCGAAGGTTATCTATGTTTCTGAAAAAGGAACAGTTCAGCAGGCTGATAAATAAGATCTAAGAAGTGTCCACTTATATTTTAAATGATTCTTTAGACTTGTCTGTGATTCTTTGATGAAATAAAGTTTATCTAACGGGGAAAAAAATCTACAGCTCTGGTAACCCTACAGGAAGCTCACTATGACCCAGAATTCATGTGATGGCAGTGGGTTTGGTTTTAATTGGTTTTGTGCAATATTATGCCCTGGTGGCACAGTGGTTAAAGCACTCAACTGCTAACCCAAACTATCAGTGGTTCAAGCCCTCTGGCCACTTGGAAGAAGAAAGATGTGACAGTCTGCTTTTATAAAGATTTACAGATTTGGAAGCCCTGTGCGGAAATTCTACTCTGTCTCGTGCAAGGATGGCAAGGCTTTATCCCAAGTTATCAGGAAAGATCGGTCTCTGGAAATGAACATCATGCTTGGTACAGTGGGGGTGGGGGGCAGTGAAGAAAGGAAGGCCATCAACAAGATGGAATGACGCCAGAGCGAAACAATGGGCTCAAGCAAAGGAAGAAGTGTGAGGACGGCACAGGGCCAGGCAGCGTTTCATTCTGTTGTGCATTGAGTCACTATGGGTCAGAACCAACTTGAAGGCACCGAACAATCAAAACATGCAGGGGAAAAAAATTTTAGAAAACTTCTTAGGCTTAATCAAATGCCTTGAGGGAATGAGTAGCTGGCCCTATGGGCTCAAGACCATGGGTTTATGGTCCACTGAGGTCATTTGGCACAAGACAAAGACAATGGTCGGCATCCTGCTTTGGTTAGTAGCAACTGGGGTCTTCACAGCACGTGACAATGTGCACCCTCTTTGACGCAACTGTTTTTCGCTGCCCGCCTGGAGGAATGAAGAGCAAAGAAAAGCAAAGACATATGGAAACAAGTAGTTCGATGAACTAATAGATCACACACACATCACCTTCCACATCTTTGAGATAAAAAGAGCTAGATTGTTGGATGGATAGGAACTGGGGGACTCTCCACAACTATGACCCGTAATCATCCTTCAGGTTTGGAAGTGTACTCAGCTGTGGCTCAGTTCTCAGCCAAACAATAAGGGGAGCAGTAACACTAGAATGGTACACACACCTTAGAATAATAAACTATTTGAGATGAAAAGGGCATCATTTACTCAAGAATAAAATTGGAAGTATTAGGAAAGAAGGAGAGAGGAAATCAGGAAACATAAAGGGGAATTAAGTAAGTGATGTTACATTTAGGAGAGTGCAATAAATGAGAGGACACAACGTATGTATGAATTGTTGACTGGAAAACTGATTGGCTTTATACATCTTTACCCAACTGAGTGTAAAACATCGCTTTACAAGTTTGTGAAAAATGGATTTAAATGGTAACAGAAATTTTCCGCGAACTTTTGAAGTCTCTTCACACATTCAAAGGAATCGGAATGAAGCT